TCAACACCATTTCGACATCCAACATTAAACTATCTACCAATCGATCAAAAACCACAAGTATTTGTTGAACAAGCAGATTTTTTATTGAATATATTTCAACAAATTATTTATCTTGGAAAATATCAACGATGTAATGGATCAAGTAAAACTTCAAATATATTAAAAGTTCGTTATTCTTTTTCTATTTTCTTAAAATTAAATCTGACTCTTTTTTTCTATATAGTTATCACAACCTAGACCGATATATGATCCAAAATATGATGCTATTCTAATGATTATGGCACAACAAATCACTGAACGTTTATGTCCACTATTGGTTAGTTTTGTATATATATAAAAAATGTCAATATATCCGATGAAATAGAACTAATAATATTTTATCCATGAAAACACAAAAGCGGATATAATCCATTTCTTTTTCTTTCTATTAGGAAGACTGGAGACATTTGAGATTACTCGGTTTGATGAAAAAACATAATGTATACAATAAATAACCTTGATCAATTCCTATATAGAATTCCTAATTCGAACAAAAGATATACTTTCATAATAAATTAAATTTTTATAGAAAAATATTTATGAATTCGAAAGTTTCGATTAACTTTTTTTTTAATCAAAAGAAAAAAAACTCGAGATCAACCTTGACTCGAACTTCTCTTTCCAAGGTCATATGTATGTCTCAATGAGTTATAAAACATACATAATTTGTAAATCGAAAATCTTTCTTTTCTTAAGTACATTTTTCATATTTATCACATTGGAATTCTTTTTTTATAACTCATTGATTCACACTACCGGTCATGAAAATCATAATCGATTAAATTATCTTTTCTTTCAATAGAATTCATCTTATATTATTCAACAATGTCTTATTTCAATGCTTCTAAAACTTAATCAAGAATCTATTCAAGATGAACAGATTGAAATATCCTTATGTCTTGATTATTTCTGGGCATTTTTCGAAGTAAAAAATAGATTCTTTTATAAAAACAAAGTTTTTCATTTTTGCTTTTTTAATTTAAGTCAAATGATTTAACTACAATAATAACTCAATTATTTCTTTCATTAAATATTCTTTATTTTTTTGAACCTATACAAATAAATTTTGATAATCAACGACAATATTTATATTTATTACATTCAATATTAAAACATGAAGATACACGGAAATTATCATTAGAATCAATATTTTTTCTTAAAGTTAAATTACCATTATTTATTGATATAAAACCACCTGATAGTGATGTATTAAAACAAATCATACCTGATGGTTGGCCGACAAAGAAATTAAATTTAGTAAATTTTGCTATGTGAAAATAATATTCATAGATGATCTTTGTTTTTTCTTCTTCTAGAATGAACTTGAACGTGATTTAAATTGTTTACCGACATATCGTAAATTAAAAGATGATCTGAAATTATTAGAAACTATTCAAATAGAAATTCTTAAACTTTTATTAACACCTTCGGATGTTCTTCAACATCCACCGTCATCAAAATATTTATTTATAACAAAATTTCGAATATTTCTCAAAGAAAATCTCACTGAATCACCTGTAAGATTTTTTTAGAAAAAATATTTATTAGCAAAATATTATTTGTTTTTTTCTCTTAATTTGCATAGCTTCATAATTATCAACCAGGTATAATAAGAAATTTTTTTCATCGTTTATTACAAGTATTAGAATATTATTGGAATCAATATCATGAAATCAAATCAATGGATGAAGGTCGAGAATATTCATTACCATTTGATGCAGCTTATGTTCCCAGTCAAAAATTTATTGATAATAATTTTGATTATTTTAATCTACAAAGATTAGGTGGTGTACAAAGTCATTTAGAAAAAGAATATTCAGGTAGATAAAAAAATAATTAATTATAAATAAATAAATATTTATATTTTTAAAGCTGATCTTAAACGAGCAAGATCTTCAGTAACACCACCGACACCTACAACTTCATCATTTTTAGCTCGAGCATTTTCTGATCAATCATCGAGATATGATGATATGAGTAAATAAATAAAAATCTAATGAATATCTAAAAAATAAATAAATAATTTCAATTTCTAGGCGATTTAGTTAATGGACGTGATCGTTATCGACATTCATTAGGATTTAATTTAAAATCACCGAATGCTACTGGATCTGAAAGTTTAACTGAATTACTTGATGGTCTTATACTTCTATATCATGTTGGTGTACACAAACATTACGTTAAAGTAAATTAATATACTCGAAGATTATAGTTTATCAAAGAAAATTTACTTATAAAGCTTCCACTTTGAGAAATCTTCTACTACTGAATTTTTCATGAATACGAAAAATTCGAGGTTAGACAATCAAGTAAACATTTTCAATCTCACTTAGTTCAATAAGTCGTAATCGATTGCGAAGTATATGAAAAATAGATTTGATTACTATGCCATAATCATCAATTTGGAAAAAAAGTTCTTTTGTCATATAGAAATATGTCTCTTCTACGTATGTATTAAAAATTGATTCGAATATATTCTTAAAATTTTTCTTTCTTATTCAAATTATACTTTTTCTTGAATAAATTATTTAGATTTCTTTGTTGTTATAAACAACCCTTTGTTTTTATCATTTAGGCTGCTGAAGTTGTTGATAGTTTACGTGAATATACAGAATCATTAACAGATATTGAAAATAAATTATTAAATTGTCGGAATGATTGTCCTGAAATTCGTGAAGAACTTATTCGATCTAAAAAAATCTTTGAACAACAAACTGAAGATTTAACACGTAAAATAGCTTGGATAACAATCAATGTTTTTTCACAAGTCAATTAGTTTTATTTCATATATTTTTTAAAA